GGGGGGGGAAGAGACGCGGGCCGAGGGAAGAAATCAAAAGGGGGCGGGGGCTCAGGGGCTGCAAAGTGGGCCAGGGCCACCCTAAGGCCGGCTGGGGGTGAGGGCCAGGGCTGGGGGTCGCCTGTCCCTCCTCCAAGCCAGAGCCGGGCCACCGCACCAGCACAAGGCGCTCTCTGCTCCAGGGCCAGGCTGCGGGAACGTTTTGGAGGTTCTGTCAAGGTCAGAGAGGGATCAAAAGCTGTCTTTGGGCCGTGTGACCAGGACACCTTCAGCACCTCACCTGCTTCCAAACAGCCACAATTTGCAAAACCAACCTAGTGGGTGCACACATGCAGTCTTCCAGACTAACCTCCTCAGTGGGAGTTCTTGCCCCTTTCCCTGCTCACCCCAGAGTCCTCCATCCCGCCCCCCCATACACCCATACAGATGGGCACAGACAGATGGAAAACCTGCACCTTTCCGGGGGCTTTAATGTGGCCCAGCTGAAGACTCGGGAAGCCCGCATCGCTGTGATGAGGAGGACCACTTGTGATTGGTAGCTACAGGTACCTCTGAGACACCTGCTCCACCTCCAGAAATTGTGTTGGGGGAGGGGGCTCCTCGTGCGTGAGTCTAAGAGTCAATTCTGAAGGTGGGAATTTGAAATTGAGGCAATCAATCTGGGCTTGAGCTGCCTCACAGCTCCTCACCCACCCAGGGCCCGGGAATCAATCAGAGAACAAGCAGGAGCTAAAGCTCACCGGTCAAACCAGAGTTCATCCTCCCCCACGGCGGGGTCAGAAGGGAGATACACCTGAGTAGTCCCTCGGGGGCCCCTTTTCACTTTTAAATGCACCCATCAGACAATCTGAACATCTGATCAGATCCTTAATGGAGTGCAGATAATGCAGCAAAGAACTTTTTTTTTTTTACTGGGGGGGGAGGGGAAGTATCTGCTTGTGTTGTGTTTCAAGTCTTTGAAGCTTGGTTAAGGAGCTCTGAGTACAGAAGGAAAAAGTGAGCTCGGAGTGGAGGAGCCAACAAACTACCTAATTTTTCATGGTGCACACTGGAGCCCCAGCTGCTATGAAGCTTGAGGTCATAAAATATGGGCTCTCAGAAGAAAGAGGAGGAAAATAGAGGGAGAGGAGAATAGGGCTAATGAGCCCACAGATGTGCAAGGAAACCAGCAGTTGCCTTTTAGGGGAGACATTTTTAAGAGGCCCTTAGAAAATAAGGAGGGGCATTGTTTAATCAAACATTCCTCTTCCAAATCACTGAGCCAAAAGAAGGTTTTTATGCGCAGTGCAGCTCCTTTCTCCATCCTTCACGCTCCCACCTCAAGCAAAGCATGGAGGGCAATTTGCCAGGTAACTCAAGTGAAGGAAGTGGGGCGTGGTGGGGGAAGGGCACGTGTGAAACTCTTGTCATGCTATGAATGTCAGAGAAAAAGGGGTCTGCTACAATTCTTCAGTAATCCAATAATGTGGAAAACCTTGTGGTATCACTGAGACGAGAACAAGGTAATATTTCTCCATAAATCTTCAAAAAATGACCAGGTTCAATGGCTAGAGAAGGGTGCAAGTGTCAGAAGTAAACCACTTGTCAAGCTACATTATAAAATCAAGTGAGCTCTAAATGGATGAAAATCTGCCATTCCTACATGTTTTAAATTTAATAACAGATTTCTAGAGTATCATTTTAGCTCTCATAAAAGGTCCCCTTTCACCTTTTCTCTAGCTGTTACAGAAAGCTGCACTCTGTAACCAGAAGCAACCACAACTACCATCCCCCTTTACTACACAGTAGTTAGATCACTTTGGGCACAGACTACATACAAACACCCAAAAATCTCATGAAACTGTAGTGGGGGAAATGCAACTTACAAATGCCCACTGATTTTTCCATTACATGCTCTTTTCAGAAATGCTAGTTAAAAAAAAAAAGAAAAAACAACAACAACAACAAAAAAAAACAATCCACAGTACTTCACTGCTTTCAAACTCAGAGCAGGCACATTTTTCTTTATAAGGCATCCAAACACTAGACATAAAGAAAAGTCAAAAAGCTAATCTGCCAATGTGCTTACTGTGTAAAGGTACAGTATTTCTACTACCTTGTCTGTTCATTGACGCTGGGCTCAGTTATACAAAAGATGAACCAATTCTCAAATGGGACAAATCCATAACACTCTTCCAAAGCAAATATTTGGCCTCAAAGCTTTCATTAAAAAAAAAAAAAAGCAATACAAAAAGCAAGAAGTACAATCACAGAATAAGTGTATCATGGAAACTGGTATGTAGAATCACAGCTGTCGTAAAGTCCAAGCTAGAGACAAGAAATCTTAATTTAAACTATTTCTTTCCTTAATAATAGGTTACCTTCCCACAAAAGCAAGAAGTCCATCTGCCCCAGGCAGATAAGTTTTGAAGCATTAATTCAGATAAAAATCTAGCATTTTCTTTCTTTCTTTGACTATGTGAATTCTGGTGTGCTATAATGTGAGAATTCCAACATATGACCATTATGGCATAATATCTCATTGCTCAGCTTGTCGTTATTTCATTTGTAATTCTTATGTTAATTATGTTCATAATTACTATAAACAGATGTGGTAGACATTCATGTGACCTTTTATTGCAGAATGCATTCCTCACTCATTTTGCTTTAATTTCACATGTATACGAAGCTGAAATGCAGCAAAAAGAAAATGGCTTTCCAATTTTCTGATATTTTACATGCGTAAGTTAAAACAGCGCCCACCTTCTACTTCATCTGAATTTGAAAGTATTGAAATACTCTTACTGTTTAAGCTGCTTTCTAGCACATTTCTAAAGTGCACCTCACTGAACCTCACTGCTGCTCACTAAATTGTAGCATGGATGCCAAACAAAGGCTAGCATCCGTGTCTAAGGTGTTTGTCTTTTTTCCCTTTAATATCAAAGGTTAATGCAGCAGAATTGTGCTTCCAAACCAAGTACCCAACAGCTACATAGTGATGTATTCACTCATAACTCAACCATCAGCCTCTTTACATAAAACACATTTACAATAAAATCAGTATGGATTTCATTAGCTGAAAACCTCCTCGAATTTCATTTCTTTGGCCCTAATCTATAATTAGTGTGGACAGACAGGTGCAAACCCTCCTCTTCTACAGATGGCTACTGGAAATGGTGCAAAGTAGCTCCTTCTGTTTAAACAACATGGAGATAACCTGCTCTGTCTTATCACTTACAATTACCTCCATTAAACTGAACTAATGTTTGCTTTAATAAAATGTTCACTGTTCTTTAAACATTATTTAGGAACTCTTACATTAATGGCTGTAAAAGAGTGAAGTTGGAAGGTGTCTCGTTAGATAATAGTAAGTAGCTTATCCTGGGTAAATTGTCCCCACTGATGGGTCACAAAGGTTTTTAGTTGACTTAACATTTGTTGGCTAGCTTGCATAAATAGGGTCAACCATAATTTTTCAAAGGGCACTGAGGTGATAAACACAATTTAACAAATAAAACTGTGGGAAATGACATTTTTCTCAAGTTTATAAGTACAAGAGGTTTAATTTTTTTCTTATACATTGAGTTGTTATTGAAGTGTGTCAGTCTTAAAATCCCAGATTGTTTTCAAAGGATGTTTGTGTTAACCTAATTTTAAGTATTTAACTTCTGATTACTCGCAAAGTTCAGTGAGTTCATTCTTTCCATCACATTTTAAAAATTAACTATGAATCTTAGTTCATTTTGCAAACATATAGTTAAAAACAATTCCATTCTATAATAAATAACTTCAATAAAGTCTGAGATTACTTCTCACTGGTTCTGCTATCAATAAAGTCTGTGGATCACTACATGATGAATAAGGTGTCCATAAAATAAAGAACCTCTAAATGCACAAACTGCAACAAATAAATAGCCTTTCTCAATGAACTTACATAACTTACAGTAATACGACTCCAGCAAAATGCAACTGACTTGGTTTTTTTCACATGCAAATCCTGCAGGTGCCAATTTTTCAGACTGCTTTGCTATGAAGGGCTATGGTGCCTGCATAAAACCTCAATGAAGAAGGCTTTGCATTCAGTGCCTGTCAGTTGATGTTCATATCAAAGAAGTGAGAAACAGGATTTGACAGTGAAGAAATGTCCCAAACTGACAACCACTGACCAGCATTCCTATTGGAAGCATTTCTTTCTGGTGATCCCTTTTCAATGTTTAAAAAACGGGGGAGAAGAGATTAGCTAAGCTTCAATTTTACAATAACAAATTATAATAGCACCTTACATTTGTGTATTTCTTTGCAATTTATGAAGTGTTCTTTCATCTGAAAATATTTAGACTAACACTTCAGTGGGAGAGCTCATCATATCAAATACTAACACCAAGAGCAATATTTGGCTTCTCTTAGAAAAGAAAAATTGTGAAAGTATTTAAAAAAAACTGCAGCTCTGTAGCCGAAACATTACTGTCCTGCTGTTTCCAGCAACTTACAATTTAACATTGCAGTTTGTATTGTTCTGCAGGTCCAACATTTATTAAACATATCCTTT